GAGTGACCAAACTGTGACGAGAAGACTGCATGAAGCTAATCCTCATGCTCACAGACCGCTTCGTACTCCTGCACTATGCCGAGGAAATCATGGAAGAAGATAACAGTGGGTTCGTGAAAATTTGTTTTGGGAAGGTAGCCAGTGGTCTGTAATCCTGTTTACCGATAAGTTCCGATTCGGTTTCCATCTTGATTCGCGAAGAGTACGCGTATGGCAAACTCCTGATCGTGAGAGCCGCCTGCAACACCCTCAGGAAGTCCATCCATACCATGGTGGGACGATTATGGTTCCCATGACCGCTGAAATATACCTCAACCAAGTGCTAGTACCAATAGTCTACTTACATCGACTACAAATGGGTCAAGAATACACGGTCATGCACGACAATTCTCGTCACCACACAGCGCGAGTGGTCACCAGCTGGCTGCAGGAGCACGATGTATCGGTCTTAGACGGGCCCGCGCAATCACCAGACCTAAACCCCATAGAACACACATGGGACCTGCTCCAAAGAAGGGCTTTGAGAAATTTACCTACATTGTCACTGAAGAGCAACTTTTTGTGCATCTTTCCAGGACCTAGAACAATATCCCGCAGCAAGACTTTGATAAGTTGATTCGAAGCATGAAAAATCGTTGCAGGACCGTTAACGTCATGGGTGGTTTTACTGACCATAGATTTTCGCAAAATTGCAAATAACGGAATAATTTTGCTATATTTTTCACATTTTCTTAAAAAACACATTTATTGTTATTTTATCATTATTCTGCTTTTCGTTTTTAATTGAATAATTTATTTTAACGGACAAAAGAATATTTATGTTTTACTCTACGCTAGTAAATGGGCTTTAAAAAACATAAATATGTTGTATGTTATTAAAAAAAAAATTAAGAATAATTAAAATATATTTGTTGACTGACAACGGGGTGTTTTATGCTTACATAGGATATTTAATGTTGTAATCTTTTATTCTGTTTAAGAATAATCTCACGATTTAACTTTTCTGTCTTATAAAGACTATGCAATATAGAACAATTACCCGTAGAATGTTCGAGGCAATTCAGCAATAATTTGTTTCTCTTTGTTATTTTGTTATGTTACTTCAACTGTATAATATAATATCAATAAACGTATGAATCTTATGGAAATTCTCAATAAGAATTGCTCTGAATTTTTGACCCTTACAATATTAGTAAGGTGATAAAAACAAACAATGTATCAAGTATTTGAAATATGCGTGCGTATAACCTTAATTCTAAATCAATTACCGTCTAAAGTAAAATATATGAAGCAGTTCATTCTGGAAACAACTGTATAACTGCCGTTAACAATCTTCTCATCGGTTCCTTTGACACGTCATCCATCTCTTTTACGTGTAAACAAAACTTAAAGTTGGCTAATAAAATATTTACTTTGTTTTGTATCTAGTTAGCTGTAAGAGCTTCGGATACGAATTGAAAAACTTTACGAAACACTTTCACTGGGCTCTCGTTTCTTTGTGAAAGTTTCCTTTGATCGATATTTCACACACCTGCTCTTTATCACATAAGTTTTGTGTTCAATTGCATTAAAATTGTATGAACCGTTCAATTATTGCGAAGGGCTATATATCATTTCAGGTTTGATTTAAAGAATCTCATTATTTTTTCATATTAACAGTTTCTTATTATTTTTTGAAAAAGTATATATAGCCTGAGCGACTATCTACGCAGTATGATCTTCTCGTGTAAATGACTCATTTTTATTAGCTGTTATGTGGTGCCAAGAAATTTTTCACATATAAAAGAGTGAGCGAAGTCTTTCATCCCTTGTATCATAGTGCTACAATATAGCTGCTGGAGTGAGGATTGCTAGTTCGATGGTGGGTCTCCTTATATTCGGCCTTTGTTTGTTATTTTGGTAACTTTTATCAGTCCGTGAGTTCATGTTATGGATAACTATCTATCGTCTAACACTTTGCTGAAAATCCAATTACCACAAAGAAAAATTTATTTGATGTTGATGTAGGTACCACAATATCTTACCAACGATATTGTGAGAGTATTGTGTCCATCTGATCTAGGGGATAGTGCAAAAACCACAGAAATAAAGTAGCGACAAACTTAAACATTTTAATCAAATGTAAGATGGAATTGGTAATTTTCATGTAAAAACTCTGTAAGCGTTTCACATGCATGGATTATTAAGTTACCTCTAAATAAGGTTCAGTTTCTTCTTATAATTAAATCCATTTAAATCTTACTGTTTCTCTCTCAGAAAATAAATACAAAACGTGATCCCGGATCTTCTTAAAAAATTATTCCAGTCGCAGATTTCTGATTGCCTTGAATTTTATAGCTGTGTCAGGCAAGCCTCAAAAACGTGACTGGACTGAAAATACAAACCAATTGTAAGGTGAAACTATGTTTTGTTATTATGGTTTTTATGATTATCATAAAATAATCAACGTCGAAATATTAGTTTTATGTTACCCCTACGTAAAAAGGTAACTGGAATAAAATCTGTAACATACAAAGTATAGCACAGACGCTTCCTGCTGTCTGTAAGCTGAGATATTTAAAGACTCTTATTAGAAACTGCAAAACGGATTTTGATGCAGATTTCAACCAAATACGCAGTGATTCAAGAGGAAAGTTTATATTTATAATCCAAAGCCAGTAATTAATAAAAAATACAAGGGTTTTAATTAGCTCGTTACTAAAATTTTCACAAACGCCGAAATGGAAGTGCGTCACTGAATTCTCAGGAATTATACGAATTTAAAAATTAATATAACTATATATTTTGAGCGTTAGAAGTTTTATAGAATATTTAATGGAAAATCTTTTGTTTCTAATCGTTCGCGGAATGTTGAATACTGACGGACTCACCAATAAGCAAAGCTTAAGCGTTGTATAGTTAGACAGTGTTTTGTCTTTTACACTCAAATTGAAAGTCACATTGGAATGGAGTGAACATGTGACGGGTTCGATGCTTGAGCGAATGAATGAAAGGCTGACTAAGCTCGAGAATTTGATTTTATTATACGGTAATAAAGAAAAGGGTAAAGAAAAACCCATATTTTGGGTTTCCTGTAATATATAAACTTGGACGATATTTCACGAAGATATACTTTTAGATTAATAAATTTCTTATTTAAATTACAATAACTTAAATATTTTTTTTATACTTAAATTTATTTCATTACATTATCATGTTCACACCAGATTAATTTTTTACAAACTGACATTCATAAAGACGAAAGGTGACTAATAAAAATAAAATGATGTTGAATATCAAAGACAAAAAGTTTGCATGCTGAAACCTAGGACGACATAAACGGTGCTACGGCACACCGTTACAGACAAAGCTATGTGTAACTAAACAACCGTTATAAGATTTTTATTAGTAAGGGTATGATAACTAAAATAAAATACGATATTCAACCTTACACAATGATCCGTGTGAATGTTCTTCTAAAACGTTCAAAACATCTTCGGTCAGTTTTGCACTGACCAAAGAAAAGGAAATTGTCCTTGCAATATTAATATTAACTCACTATAATAATATAGTCAATGCGATAACCTTTAAAGTCTTTCATTAAAATAAAATGGTAGCGAACTATTGATATTACGTGTACGTATGTAAGGTATACTAACACTATTAACTTTCCACCAAGGGTTTAACTTAGAATAAAGCTTTTCATTTAGGTTCCTATTTTTTGATAAGTCTATAATAGGATACGAATGAATGAATGAAATATTTATTTGGTAATATAATAATGACATTTTTATCATTTATGCGGAATTGGCCTCCGCTCAGTGCCACGACAGTTTGTCGTGACGCTGATATTCTGCGGATACCTCGAAAGTGGCCACAGGACACAAAATACATTTAAATGACAAAGATAAGTCAAACATAAACAAAACAAACGCAAAATAATAATTTAAAAGACCACTTTGCGACTTAGCAATTTGCTTTTATCGTGGAGTAGGACTCTCCTCTATGCCTTCGAAGGAATTATTTGTTTATTTTATTTGACCAAACCAACTAATATTGAGAACATTCTTTTGTTTTCTTCGATTTATTTATTGCAACAGACACTTATAGGTGAGCTCCGCATGTATAATGAGCTTACAGTTTCCAACTATTTATTAATTCCAGACTTATATGTATTTTTTTTTATATGAAATAAGTTATATCTATAATTGTTAATATACTGACTTAAGAAAATTTAGAACATTTTCAAGAAAACGTGGAGCATGAGTAAAGTAACCAGACGTCCCGTATCGAACGGGACTGTCCCTTTATTCGACCACCTGTCCCGTTGTCCCGCTGGGATTTAAAATAGTCCCGTTTTCTAAAACCGCGCGAAAAATTGAAGATATATAAATACGACTAAAAATACAATATGTTGCACATATTTTAATAATATTACTGTCACATAAATGGTACTTTAATGAAGCTTCTTATTTTTCATAAATACTCCTAATACTAAAAATATTTTTAATTTTTGTGAATACGAAATAAAGAAGGTTTAAAAGTTCTGTTTATTTTTATTGTTAACCTTCCCACTGGGGTATATGTATATTAGATTTATAGTATGTATAGTAGTATGAGGTATATTATGTATAGACGTCCCGTTTTGAGTTAAAAGAAAAATGGTCAGTTTAAAATGAATTAAAAGTTGGCCAATTTAAATCCAATACAGTTCTTCTCTAAGGAGGACAGGCGTGATAGCTTTACGCGGAATTTATGTTGGGGCTCGAAATAGAAAATAACTGAATTATTTAGAATTGTCTATTTTACCTTTCATCAGTTTGCAAGGAAATAGCATGGCCAAGAGATCTCTGCGTAATGCTAGAGAATCCATCCTGAAGTATTGCAATCTAGAATCATACAATCTTAGCTGTTTAGTCTTTGTGTCGAGAAAGAGAGGTGCCAAAGAAAACGTTCTGTACAGGCTCTATTCCATCATCGATATTTCAACTACACTCAGTCAAAGAATAATATTGTTTCAGACTGGTAGCTTCTATTGGAGATACATATGGTACTGCTCTTCTCTTCCACATGTTGGTGTCTACCATCACCTTGACCCTTCTAGCTTATCAAGCCACCAAGGTAAGTGTTCTATTATATTTAGGTATTATTATTAAATATGTTGCCTGGTTATTCGTTGGCTAATAAATACCTAATTCAAGTTTTTGAATATTATTTTGAGTTTGTTTATTCATCATCAGCCTTTTTACGTCACCTGTAAGGCTGCAAGGGACCTTCCTTATGGATGGTTAAGGAGGATGGACCATGACCCTCCACGCTGGCACAATGAGGATTAGATGGCATTAACCACTGCAAATGCAACCACGACCAATGTCTTAACGTGCCTTCCGAAGCACGGAGTGGAATAATTTTTTAGTCACCCATCCTGTGACAGACATTTGCAAAAGCTGCTTAACAACAACGATCGTGGGCTGCAGCGCTGATCTACCACGTCACTGAGCTACTCAAAAAAAATGTTTATTATTTACGATCCGGAATTGTATATACGAGTACATAAAAGGACTAAAATTATTAAATTTCGGTTTAATAATTTTAGTCCTTTTAACCTAGTTTAAAGTTATTAAAGGTTACCAAATTTTTTCTAAGATTTTTTTGTCAAAAGTAGGAAATGGATCCCTTTTTGGGTCATTCGGTTCTCTGAAATACAATTGTTAAGTCGGTGATTCATAGGAAATCGTGCAAGTAAATAAATGAAACGCAAACATAGTGACCTTTTTTGGAAGGTAAAATTGAAATTGGCAATTTATTTGAAATTTAAAATTCTTCTGTTTCAGATCAACGGTATTAATGTTTATGCATTCAGCACAATCGGTTACCTTAGTTACACGTTGGGTCAGGTGTTTCATTTCTGCATATTCGGAAATCGACTCATAGAAGAGGTTAGATTATTACTAAGTTCTATAATCAATAAAGCTTCAGCTGAATTTTTAAGAAGTAAACAAGCAGTCTATATTCACACAAAGCAACTACTATAAGTATAGTTATTTTAGTCTGTGAAATTTCATCGAATTGTTAAATTTACTAATCTATAAAGAACAAGCAGGATTTACACGTTTATTGCTACGATCAGGTAATGTGGTTACAATATTTTGCTACAGCTACAATATTTAGATACAACTACAGATTTTTTTGCTACATTTGCTACTTATACGAAATGTTCAGACTACAGTTCTGCTTCGCTAAACAGTAACCCCGGGAACATGCTTGTAAGTTGCGATGGTATCCTACGAAACGGCATGTGTCAAATCTTATCGAAGCCGGTTATTATTTACCATGATCAGAATCACAATATGAACATCCAACGCAACTTCATGCTCATACTATTCTCATTATGATCGCGTTTCAAAAGTTAATTCCCAGCGTAATCAAAGTTCTAATTTATAGAGTTCATCTGTTATGGAAGCTGCATACTCATGCCAATGGTACGACGGTTCAGAAGAAGCGAAAACATTCGTCCAGATAGTGTGCCAGCAATGCCAGAAAGCGATGAGTATCTCCGGTGCAAAATTTTTCACTGTTTCATTGGATTTATTCGCTTCTGTACGTATACGATTTAATATATTAAATTCTAAACAAAAGGGGCTTTGAGTAGATCTAAAGATAGAATTATAATGGATGTTCTAAACAATGGTCCTGTTTTGCATATTGTCCTAGATTAACGCCTAGGGTGGATTAAAATTTAAAATTAGGAGACAGTATTTGAAAGTTACGAGAGGCAAAATTAGAAGATAAATCAATTTGAATGATTTAATAATATTATTGCGTATTTGCCACAGATTGCTCAAGTCTAACTATGCTATCTTACTGTTCTATTAAAATATTATTTTTGAGCAAATGTTTCTAATTGTATTATATTTTTGTGTTGTCCGTATTAACATGATGTTTAACTATTTATAGAGTATCTATATTCTTTGTTGAATATTTCATTCAATAATTCATACAAATAAACGAATTGAACATTGTCCTCAATCTGTTGAGGTGTACCTGTCTCTCATAGTTTCGATGGAACCTTATTATCCGAATAGATTTTGTTAAGTCTATAGATTTTGTTAAGATAAGTCTATAGTATTGCCAGATCAAACAATTAGAGCTACCAGATTTTTGATAAGATTACTTGTTTTTACCATTTCAACCGTTTATCCAAATCACGTAGGCCATCAATCACTATTAAACTATAGAAACCTGGAGTACAAATGAAATAATCGTATTTATGTGTCTTCTTTCTTTTAGGTGTTGGGTGCCGTCGTGACGTACTTCATGGTGTTAGTGCAACTCAAGTAGACAATGAAAATATACTTCGTTTCGAAATCAAAATGGAGGATACTCGTATATTTTGTTGCTGCCACTAGCTGCATCAATTTTATAAACTACTGAAAAGTATATTGGGAAAAGATGTTAAACGCTCGGTTTATTCACACAAACGAGTCGTAATCGATTCATACTTGCAATATTCGTGAAACGGTAACAATGGTAAATTAGTAAAGATACTAATATAATATGTAATAAATTATTACAAAAACAACAAAACGTTTGATCGTATAGAATTTTGAAGTTTTCCTTGACAGAAAAATCGTAATATCTGGCATGGAACCAATACAACAGAAGTAATTATTCTATGACTTCAGTTGAGTTCAATAAAATAATACTTTAGCACAGTAAAAGATATTACTAGCTTTCGCCAGCGGCTTCGCCCGTGTGGCCCTTAGGGCAATGTTTAATGGAATAAAAAGTATCCTATTATATAAATCAGTTAATAAATACCCTATCTGTAAACCAAATCTTATCAAAATCGGTTCAGTTGTTTCGGCGTGATGGATGGACAAATATCCAAACATAAAAACTTTTACATTTCTTATATTAATAGGATAATTTATAAGAATATAATATTGATCATGTTGTTTTATCATATAAATATCCAGTGAGCGAATACATGCATAAAAGACCTAGTACGAGTTGCCACGTTAATCCACGATATCAAATATTACTTATTCCTTTGAAATTGTGTTCTAAAGTGGGTTTTACACACCCAAACAAGACCCCGCCATTGCCGTCTGATGTGGCTTAATGTAGATTTAAAGTTCAGCTACCACTTGTTCTCGCCACCAAAATCAATGTATAAGATATTAGTACGAATTTTGGCATTACAGTAATAGCGTAGTACTATTTTGACGCAGACTCGAGAGATGTTCAGTAGGAATCTCGGTCGTGTCCATGTATATATTCATATAAATGCTTTTGTTCAAATTAAAGTGTATCTTTTGCCACTTTTTGGATAATAAATGTAACTGTTACCGTTTAACTGTGGTTAGAACATAGAAACCGGGCGTGAATCATTCCGAACAAAATGCGACAGAATCTAAGATATCTGCTAGCGTATATTTGAAATGTAATTTTTCAATATTGTATGTTATAATAATAAATATAACTTATACTTATATAGGTATACCTAGAATAATACTTTGCACTTTTGTTATTTTACTACAATTACTTAATTGAAATAATTGTTTCGGGATTGTGAATAAAGTATTATTATATTTATTTATTTATTTGCCAACACTTATTTATAATTGACAAAATGTATAAATTACATAATATTTAGGTTTAACAAAAATCGTATCAGTCGGCATGATGACTGGCTAAAAAGGAAACTATATTTAGTGCGTTCGTCAGATAATAAAAAAATATTAGATACTTTTTTTTTTGCTTTAATTTAACATTAAATGGCTTAGGCAATAGGTATCAAAGTGGAGTAGTGGGACATGCTACATATAATTAGGATCACAGATACAGTAACGATTTTCTGTTAATAATACATCATCGAACACAGCGCTGTTTAGAGGTTCGATCAAAACTCAAATTCAAAAGACAATAAAAAAATTATTTGATTGAAAATCAAATATCAATTAATTCATGGACATTGATGATTGAATAAATAATATATTTTGTAAATTAGTCGATGATCGTACTAATCCTACTACTGTCAATGTACTAGTTAAAGTACCAATATCTTATAGCAGCTTAAGCCAAATTGACAGTCTGTATATTGTGCAAACACTCGATGAGTGAGTGTATCATGTCTATCACTGTATTATGAACGCCTTAAGCCTGTTGGTGTCGGTGTACAAAGGGAATAACTCTGCTCTAATACGAGTGGGATAACATGTTAATTAAAAATATTATTAAAATTGAACTATTCGATTACCTATTAGTTTTTTTAAATTAAATTTATGTAAAATTCTTTTGTACTCGAGATGGGTTCATTTCTTTTATATTTAAGTTCCTACATAATATTAAAATAAACGTGCAGTTTGCATAAATCTGTTATAAATACGCCAACTAAGTTCCTAGTTTAGTTATTATTTTGTCAATAGATGGCGTTGTAGCGTGATAGTTTGGAATAACACAAGTGTATTTTTCTTTATAATCTAAGAGGTCATGACAAATATTTGCAAGAACTTTATAAAAATTGATATTTCAGTATGTTAACGGTGCGGTTTCAGCGGTGCTAGTTGATGTTAGTAGAATGAGAATGGATATTCATTACAAAAATTTCAAAATAGACTTGTGTCACTCATACATTTATATTGAGGCTGAGTGAGGACCTCGTTTTACCTCATGAGATACTCGCGAAGTACCCCTCATTTAAGGTGAAGAATGAAATAATCGAAAAGATTGAGTATGTAGCGAGGCGTAAGGCAAATTAGGGGGGGGGGGGGGGGGAGTCGGTTGCTTAGCGCGCGCCACTACTCGCCAGTCGAGCCTAGAGAAACTCGCCAGTCGAGCCTTTTTGATTAATAAATGATCGAATATTGAAAACTATAATGATTACATAGCGTTTAAAAACAAGATATTGTAAACATATTTTCTCACGCAGAATGAATGTCATTTAGTTATTAATTTCTTTCTTTACTCTATAGGTATTTTATTAATGATATTTCTACTTTCATTACATTTTTTTAATTTTTACTCTTTACGTCTTACTTACTTCAAGCGATTAATGTATTTATCTAAGACAATGTTAAATAGGCACTAGATGCGAGGAAACGCTAAACTAAACTGAGTCGTTTAGTTTAGCGTTTTTTTTTTAGAACAAGTATATTTTTAACTCTCTTCAAACTCTTGTAATGTATGGTCCTATTGAACATACTTCAACATGCGCCACTACCAGGTGTTCCAACACCTGACCTCCGCACTGGATATTAAGCTTAAGAAAGCTCTTGTACAGATTTGTCACGAGCTATCCGTCTATGTCAACAGAATGTTTTTGTTAAAAGAACTTATTAATATTTTTCTAAAGTTTTAATGTTAATTTATATTAATATAAATAAATTTTAATATGTTAAATAAGTGTCAATCTATTTATTTTTATCTAAATAAAAACTACATTTGTGATAAGTTACTGGATCTATTTTCATTTTATTACTAACGTTTTGGTGGGTGTCAAGTCGAAAACCACAATGCCAGAATCAACTCTGAACAATAGAGAAGTTTTAAAAAAAATATGCCATTCACCCATCCGATGATCAGCCTATGAGACAGTTTCTTAACTTTAAATAATATGACCTACTTTTAAAAAATAAACACTTCTCTGTCTCTGCTATTTTAATTTTTAAATACCCTTCAAAAGGCTATATCGAGGCTTTATTAATGAACCCTAGAAAATAGGTTGCAAAATAATTGAGCTCGCTTTCAGTTTAATGAAGCTTATTTTGAGCTTTATTATGTAGCAATAAAGTTGAAACTGTGAAAGCGTCGTGAAAGTTTGTATCAACTATGTGTTTTATCAGCGTCGGACCATCGTTATTATTGTTAATTACGCGATGTTTTTATTTACCTACACTGTGTAATACAGAATAAATAAAAAGAAAACATTGAAAAAACATTTTTATTCAAGTATGCTTAATCTACATATCGCACACCTAGATCTAAACTGAGACAACTCAAAAATTTGAGTGAGTTTTGACTTAGTAAAATATTCAAATACTGGGTGATCATACGCATCTATCCTACATAACAGATTCAATAAAGGTTCGGGGATGAGCCGCTAGATAACTTTAGCTTTCTTTTGTTGAATCAACAGTGGTCGCGGTCCTGCCACGTAAACAAATGTATTGTCAGACCTCCACATTAGTTTTTGAGTTGTCTTAGTTTAGATCTAGGCGTGCGATATATGTATATACTTATATAAAGTTCTTGTGTTACAGAGTGACTGACTGACTGACAGACACAGTCGAAACTACTGAGCGTCGGAAGTTGAAATTTGGAATGAAGATTCCTTAGGGAGTGTAGAGGAGCACTAAGAGAGGATGTTTGAAAATTCCACCCCCAAGAGGCTAAATTAGGAGATGGAATTTTGAATGAAACTTCGTTACTACAAGTGCTAGGAGTTTTAAATTTTGCATTCAGGTTGTGTTTAGGACGAAGGTGCTCACTAAGACTAAAGAGGTAAATAAGGGGATCAAATTTTTTATGGAATTTTGTCATTTCTAGACTTGAACTAGATCATGCGGGCAAAAACTAGTAACTTAATAAGGTAAACGCCAACTATATAGAATGGAACGCATCGAAGGAGGCAAAAGAAAGGATTTTTGGTATAAGAAATACATACATAGTATAAATCAAAGTCGCTTCACTCTGTCTGTTCCCTGAAATCTTTCAAACTATACAACAGATTTTAGTGGTACCAAGGGGAGGGTTTGTATGTAAATGCAATAAAGGACCACGCAGGCGAAGCCGCGGGCAAAAAGCTAATATTATAAAGTCCTCTTTTTTAAAGATTTGACTGTTTGTTTATTTGCAACGAATAGGCTCCAAAACTACTGGACTGATTTATTAAAAATTCTCTTACCTAAGGGCAGCTACATTATATTCGGTGAACATAGACTATATATTATCCCGAAAAACAACAAAACTAGGAATGAAAATGGCAGTGGAAATTTGTTTATGGAATTAAAACGATTTCATAGTACCATAGTAAACATTGTTTACTATTCAATTTCTCATTATAATTATATCCATGTCATGATATGAAAAGATATCGAAATAAACAGTTCCCTAGCGCGCGTGAAAGCGAAACAGCTAGCGGAAAGCAAGTTATAAATGATAATTTGTATCATAAAATGTACATAAACTAACAAAGAAAGTTTAATAATTTAACCTCTTTAATACCTTGTTAATACACTGTTTAAGTAACATTGATTGACAACAAAATTTATTTACTCCTAGTTTAGTTTCGATGGCAGTTTGACGAAATCAATTTGTTCCAATTAATGTTTTAATTG